GCTCCTAACTCTCTCTGCCTTCTCATCTCTCTTCTGGACAGCAGCTGCCCATTTAGTCTCATGTATCTACTTGAGCTAAGAAGCACACTCTTCACGAGTATCATTTTATGTCCCATAGTCCAGTCTAATCTCTGTCTGAAGAGTTGGCCTCGGGAATGATTTTAGTTCTGGGATGACAGAGATTCATCAGGGACTCTCTGATGCCCTGTCAGGGCAGTCATTGGTGGTAGCTGGGCACCATCTAGTTCTTCTGGTCTCAGGCTGATGCAGTTTGTGGTTTATTTGGCCCTTTGTGTCTCTTGGGCTACTACTTACCTTGTGACTTTGGTGTTCTTTCTCCTTCACTCCAGGTGAGTTGGGACAAATTGATGCATCTTAGATGGCTGCTCGCTAGCTTTTAAGACCCCAGATGCCACTCACCAAAGTAGTATGCAGAACGTTTTCTTAAACTTTGTTATGCCAATTTACCTAGATGTCCCCTGAATCTCATTGTAGTTTTGATTTGCATTTCCCTAATGACTAGTGGGAGTCCCTAGGTGGTGCAAAGGGTTAGTGTGCTTGGTTACTAACTGAAGAGTTGGAGATTCCAGTCCACCCAGAGGCACCCTGAAAGAAAAGCCTAAAGATCTACTTCTGAAAAATTAGCCATTGAAAATCCTATGGAGCATAGTTGTACTCTGATACATATGGGGCCGTTGCCATGAGTAGGAATCAACTCTACGGGATGGAATCAACACAACGGCAGTGGGTAATGAGGTTGAGCATCTTTCCATGTGCTTATTGCCATTTATATTTGTTCTTTGAAGAAATATCTATTCAAGTCCTTTGCCCATTTTTAAATTGGACTGTTTGTCTTTTTGTTGTTAGGTTGTAGGAATTCTTTATATATTCTGGATATTAAACCCTTATCAGACATAAGGTTCCTAAATATTTTCTCCCATTCTGTAGGCTGTCTCACTTTGTTGATAAAGTCCTTTGATGCATGAAAGTTTTTAATTTTGATGAAGTCAAATTTATCTATTTTGTTTTTTGTTGCTTGTGCTTTTAGTGTCATATATGTGAATCCGTTGTCAAAAACAAGGTCTTTACGATTTATCCCTGTGTTTTCTTCTAAGAGTTTTTTGGTTTTAGTCCTTATATTTAGGCCCTCGATCCACTTTGAGTTAAATTTTGTATATGGTGTGAAGTATGGGCCCAAATTCATTCATTTGCTTGTGGAGGTCCAGTTGTCCCAGAACCATTTGTTGAAAAGACTATTCTTTCCCCCACTGAATGGACTTGACACCCTTATTGAAAACCAATGGCTGTAGATGTATGGTTTTATTTCTGGACTCTCTTTGCATTGGTCTATATGTCTAGTCTTATACCAGCACCACACTGTTTTGATCACTGTAGCTTTATACTACATTTTGAAATTGGGAAATGTGAGTCCGCCTACTTTGTTCTTCTTTTTTAAGATTATTTTGGCTATTTGGGCCCTTTGTAATTCCACATGAATTTGAGCAATGGCTTTTCCAGCTTTGCAAAAAGGCTGTTGGAATTTGCGTAGGGATTGCATTGAATCTGGAGATCACTTTAGGGGATATCGATATCTTAACAGTATTAATTCTTCTAATTTATGAACATGGGATGTTTTTCCATTTATTTAGGTCTTCTTCAATTTTTTTCAGCAATGTTTTATAGTATACAAGTCTTTTGCCTCCCTGGTTAAATTTATTCCTAGATATTTTATCCTTTTAGATGCTATTGTAAATGGAATTAGTTTCTTAATTTCCTTTTCAGCTTGTTCGTTGCTAGGGTATATAAACACAACTGATTTTTGTTTGTTGATCTTTTACCCTGCAATTTTGCTGAATTTATTTATTAGCTCTAGTAGCTTTCTTGTGGATTCTTTGGAATTCTATATATAGGATCATATTGTCTGCAAATGAAGATAATTTTACTTCTTCCTTTTTAATTTATTTTCTTGCCTGATTGCTCTGGCTAGAACGTCCATTACAATCTGAATAGTAACGGTGAAAACGGGCATCCTTGCCTTTTTTCTGATCTCACGGGGAAAGCTTTCAGTCTTTCACCATTTAATATGATGTTCGCTTGGCTTTTTCATAAATGCCCTTTATCATGTTGAGAATTTTCCCTCCTATTCCTAGTTTGCTGAGTGTTTTTATCACAAAAAGGTGCTGGACTTTGTTAAATGCTGTTTTTGCAATTAAGATGTGTGGTTCTTTTCCTTTGTTTTATTAATATGGAGTATTACATTGATTTTCTTATGTTGAACCACCTTTGCATTACTGGGATGAATCCCACTTGGTCGTGGTGTATATGCCTTTTAACATGTTGTTGGGTTTGGTTTGCCAGTATTTTGTTGAGGATTCTTGCATCTATTTCATAAGGAATATTGGTCTGTAGTTTTCTTTTCTTGTGGCGTCTTTATCTGGTTTTGGTACCAGGGCAATGCTGGCTTCATAGAATGAGTTAGGAGGTCTTCCCTCCTCTTCTATTTTTTTGGAAGAGTTTCAAAATGATTGGTGTTAATTCTTAAATGTTTAGTAGGATTCATAAGTGAAGCTATCTGGTCCTGGGCTTTTCTGTGTTGGGAGGTTTTAACCTCAAGTTTTGCTATGCTTTTTTAAAATGGATCAATAGATAACTAGAACGCCTACCTATAGGTGCTCATGAAATGCATTAAACATGATAGATACAGACCTTACTTTCATGGAGTTTTATTCCACATCTCTCCTTCTTGGCAAGTGAGGAACAACTATTTTCAGAGTTGTAACTACCTATCAGATGGCTGTATGGACCTGCTGTTAAGCCTAGATTTGTAGATGTTGTTTTTAGGTACCATCAAGTTGATTCTGACTCATAGTGACCCTATGTGACAGAGTAGAACTTCCCAAAATGGTTTTTTTGGGTGTAATCTTTATGGAAACAGATCATCAGAAGCAGATCGCCAGGTCGTTCTCTTGTGGAGTCATTAGGTGGGTTTGAACAATCAACCTTTTGGTTAGCAGCCTAGCGCTTAACTGTTTGCGCCACCAGGGCTCCTTTGATTTGTAGATGCAACTAGCAAATAGAGGTTATTCATTCACTAATATATGCATTTAATTGGTCAGTCAATTAATTTCTCAACTTGGATGGGATACCTTCTCTGACCCCTCCATGTTGGGAAGCACCCAGTCCTTACCTATTCTAACCCTTGTCCCTGAGCATTGTTATTGCTTGATTGTATCTTTCTCACTGACCAGCAGCAGTCAACTTCTTTCTGTGCTGTTCATCTTTGTATCCCTATCATCTAGCCTAGTGCCTGAACATAGCAAGCCTATTTAAAAAACAACCAACCAAGCCAAACCAAACACAGTTAACTGAAGGAGAGCTGCTAGTTCCTAGACATACAAGTAATTTATTCAAAGACAGTGCCTATCCTCCAGGCAACCCTGGTGGTGTAGTGGTTAAGAGCGTAGCTGCTAACCAAAAGGGCGGCAGCTGAAATCCACCAGCCGCTCCTTGGAAACCCTATGGGGCAGTTTTACTCTGTCCTATAGGGTTGTTATGAGTCGAACCTACTTGATGGCACTTAACAATAACAACAGAGTTCACAATTCAGCACAAAACACTCTGTGGGACCCAGCCTAACAAGCTGTCTAAGCTGAGTCCTGTGGCCCAACAGAGTCCAATGCATTGGGGGTGGCAGGTGGAGAGGGGCACGGGAAAGGATTCATTCATTTATGCCACAAATATTTATTAATCACTGTACCATATGGTAAGCGCTCAATATCTCTTATCAAAAGCCAGCCAGTGTTCTAGGTGTTAGGTACGTAGCAGCGAACGAGAAAACTGATGGTCCGTGCACGCACTAGCGAAGCTCACAATGTAGCGAAGGACGACAGGCAGTGGACGTACTTACAGAATGTAAAATTGTGGTAGGTGCAGAGAAGGAAAATAACAGGCGGCTGAAATTCTCTTAAGGATGTTAGGCTCTGAGGTCGGGGCAGCCGTGGGCAGATTTTGAGCAGGAGTGGCCATGATGGGGAGGACTCTAGGGGGGCGGGAAGAGGGCAGGCAAGCAGCGCTGGTAATTTTAAGATGCAAATATTTTCCGCCTGACTGGAAGAAGGAACGTGTGCCTAGGGGCGACGTGGTCGCTCGGTGTGCTCGGTGTTCTCCCGAGGGACAGTGGGCTGCATTTTGAGTGCAAGCTCGGTTGCCCAGCAGTGTTGGGCGGGCCGCGGGGAACTGCAGCCCAATTTCTCAGATTTTTCATATTCGGCAGATCTAGATTCTTCAGCCCTCAGATCAACAGACGCACCATCTCGGGCTCCGATCCGGGCCGCACAAGGACCAGGGTAGCTGGAGTACTTGCACAGCACCGCTCACCCGCGAGTCTTGGGGTCTGCAACACCGGCCGGCGGGAGAGGGCGGAGCTTACGCTGCGGACCAAGGCGGTGGCGTGGGACCCGCCCCTCGACCTAGGCCCCGCCTTCAGACCACAATGATTGGTTCAAGCCCGCGGAAGGGATGGGCGCCCTCGAGCTGCCGGAGGGTCGGGCTGGGGCGGGCGGGCTGATTGGTCTAGCAGGGATTAGGTCATCGCTAGCAGGTTCGAGCGGCCCGGACGCCGGCGGGGCGGCCGAGGCTGCTGTGAGAGGGCGCTCGAGGCTTCTTTTAGCTGGCACAAGCTAAGGAGGCGGGGAGGCGGTGGCAGCACTCGCTCGCCTGCTCGCTCGCTTCCCGGCGCCGCTTCGGGTTCGCTGCTGCGCTTCCTTCTCGCCCACCGCTCAGTTGCGCGCCCTGCAGCAGCCTCCCCTCGACCGGATCCAGGTTCATTTCGGGAGTCTTGCGCGCCCGTCGACACCGCACGGAGGGCAAGCCGGCGCCACACCTGTGGAGCCGGCGGCCGTCGGGGGTGCGGGCCGAGCTCCCGCCGCGTGCGTGCTCCGGTCGGCAGTCCGCCGGGGCCCCGGGGGAGGCGCACCCCTCGGCTGGGAGCCGCGGGCACCATGGGGCTCCCCGCGCTTGAGTTCAGCGACTGCTGCCTCGACAGCCCGCACTTCCGAGAGACGCTCAAGTCTCACGAAGCGGAGCTGGACAAGACCAACAAATTTATCAAGGAGCTCATCAAGGACGGGAAGTCACTCATCAGCGCGCTCAAGAGTGAGTGCCCCCGAGCCTGGCGGGGACGGCTGTCCCGGGGCGGGAGGGGCCGTCGGGCGGCGCTCAGTCCTTGTCGCTCGCGTGCTTCAGGGTTTTTTCACTCCGCGGCACCGAGTGACGGGTGTAGATGCTCACAACGAGACAGGAAGGATACCTAAAATGGGCGAGCCAGCAACAGTCAGATGAGGAAAGAGACCGGTTGCGCAGCCATTTGCGTTCCGAGTTGGCGGGGAGGTGACCCGAGCACGAGTGGTGCTCTCGGGCACCGCGGGTGGGTGTGCGCGGCATACAGGTGTCCCGCGAGTGGGCCAGTAGTGCCTGGACCGCCGCAGCCTGTCGGGAAACGCCATCGCGTTCACGGCTCTGGCGCCCATAGGGGAAGAGATGCTCACCCCTGGGTGCCTAGCGGCGGGGCTGGAGTGTGCCCCGCTAAGGGGGCGCTGCCTCCCCCTCGGGAAAAGGCAGGTGTGACTATTTCAGTCCCTGTATGCAGCTCCCAGGTCGACGGTTGGAACCCACCAGCCGCTGAGCGGGAGAAAGATGTATCAGTCTGCTTCCATAAATATTTACAGCCTTGGAAACCCAATGGGGCAGTTCTAGTCTGTTCTGTAGGGTCGCTGTGAGTCGGAGTTGATTTCAAGGCAGTGGGTGGGATGCACCTCCAGCCTACCAAAGGCCGCTGGCTTCTCCAAAAGGCACAGGGCTGCCTAGGGAGGGACTGGGTGGAATGGTTGGTTAGCCTGCGATTGTTTAGAGTATTGGCAGCAAGTCGCCCCCAAATCTAGCATCAGTGCCATTTACGTGTGCAGGTTCTGAATCTTGTGTTTAGCAGAAGGTGATAGGGGTGGGAGTACAGAATCAGAGTGTTCATTTACTCTAAAGTGTGGGCGAGGGTTTAAAAATAGAAAGAACATATCCTGACTCCCTCCCTTCGTTCCCTCGTTCTCCTTTTCACCTCTCCTATTATCCTTGAAAACTCAAATGTTTGAGAAGGATGTCCTTTGTTCCCACCCAGAAAGGAGAAGTTTAAACTCATTTTAAAGATTCTCTAACCTTTTGTAAAACCACTTTTCGCTTTTTTTCCTTGTGGTAGGGGAGAAATGAAATTTACATCTTTTGTATGGTTTTCCCTTGACTTTGGCAGAAGCCAGCTAGTTTCTCCTGGCCAAATAGAGAGTGCTGTAAGGATCAGCACCTTGGATTATGAGAGTGTTTTTGGTTCCTTTTCAGTCTCCTCATTTTAAAAATAGTTCAGCCCATCTTCTGGTTTTCAAAATTAGAAATAGCATGAAGGCAGATAGTGGAATTGTCTTTGACTCTTACTTTTCCTGTCTCTGATGGATTTCTTAATAGGTGATATCTTTCAGCTATGAAAGGTTGCATTGGTAGAGTGGGGTCCAAGCTGTGAGAATTGTACCCAACCCATTACCAAACCAAACTTCTTGCTGTCAAGTTGATTCCAACTCATAGTGACCCTTTAGGACAGAGTAGAACTCCCCATAGAGTTTCCAAGGAGCGCCTGGTGGATTTGATCTGCCTACCTTTTGGTTAGCAGCCGTAGGTCTTCACCACTACGCCACCAGGATTTCCAGAATTGTACCCAGGCCTCCTTAAAGGAGTGCCTGAGGCATCATTTTGTGAGCTTGTTGCTTTTAAAACTGAAGACAGAGACAGTGGAATCCCAGGGCAGCAAGTGCTGACCTTTTGGGGTGAAATGAGCTCAAAAGTATTGGGAATGATGAGGCGTCTTAGGGGGCAGTGCCTTACCTGAAGCATATGAATAGACTCTTCTTTTGTCAATGACCAGGGACTTCCTTGGCTCAGGAACACTGGACCCCTAGTTTGGAGCCAGTTAGGGGCCCACTTAAAGGTTGGGCCCAGGAATTTTGATTAAACTCAGAGGCTGCCTTTAATTTGGGCTGCTGCTTCATTCAGCAGTTTGGAGTGACTAGGGTGTACTAGGTATTGCACCAGGCACAGAGGATGTAGCAGTGAATATTCTGCTGCAACTGTGGCTGCAGAGGTTTACTTTGTGCCGGACGCGGCTTCACCTAAGAGTTATACAAATGAGAAAACAGGCTTGAGGATGCACTAGCCCAGAGTCACACAGCTCTAGTGGCTGGGCTTAGTTTAGTGCCCAATTGTGTGAGCTAAGTTGGAGTTAATGCTCTTGCAGAGCTCTTGATCCTGCCCCATCCCACGTGCCCTGAATGGAACTCTCTGGACCAGGCCTGCTGGAATTTGGATTTGTGTTTTATACTTCAGCCTCGAATCCGAGGAGAGTGCATTTGGGTAACTGGCAATTTGCCCAACTACTTTTTTTTTTTTGTATGTGTGCTTTGGGTAGGAAGAAACATTTCAGTGATTGGGGTTTAAGGACTGTTTCAGTTGTCTGATGGACCAGCCCTGTAACTTGGGGGGAAGACTGATTGGGAACTAGGTGTTCCAGTTGCTCTAAATGCAGCTCTTCTACTAACTGTGACCTTGAACAGGTTATGTGACCTTTTAGAGCTTCAGTTGTCTCATCTTTAAAATAAAGAGGGTGGAGCTGTTTCCCAGACTTCAGGCATTCACTTATCACCTAAATGCTCGCTTTGTTGTATACTGCAATATTAGTATTTATGTATTATTTTTCTTGAAATTATCTTTACCACTACTGTAAAGCCAGTATTTTTCCAGTATACCTTAAAAATAAATACATAATTATATAAGTAACACTGGTTTGGATGATCCTGTAGTCTCTCCCAGCTCTAAAATCTTATGGTTTTATTTCATAACTCGTATTCTCAGCTCTTTGAGTTTAGGTTTCTTTTGTGCAATTAATCCGAGGGCAATAAAACTGGCCTCCAGGGATTGCCAAAGTTCAGCTTGATCATTGCATTGCTACTTCCACTTTATGAATAAGGAAACGAAGGACCAGAGAGGTCAGTAACCTGCACAATGTGACACAGCAGTTAAGTGCACTTAACTCTGAAGCAACTCTGTCCTCTAGGTCAGTGGTTCTCACATGTTTGTCTCTTGACTCACTTTGAGAATCTGATAAAAGTTATAGACACTTTCTGGATAGAAATGAACTCCTTGAAACCTTTCTCTGCTCTGGACACATGGAAGGATAAGCAGTAAAGTAATTTGGGGCATACATTTAATAAAATCCTGCTTTTGGAGACAGTTCTTGTTTAATGGGGAGTAGAGCCTTGGCAATTCCTGATTATTTGTCTCTGATGCTGATTCGTTGTGGCCTTTTCTGTGGGGGACTTACTCTCCCAGGACCCTTTCCTCTGATCTGATTAATCAGTGTCTCAGTCAAGAGAAAAGTCTTCTTTTCTTTCTCTAGAGATAATATAAGCTGAAGATGTTTAGACTATAAAATTAAGAGTTTTAGGATTTCCTGCCTCCCTTGGGCTTGTCAGGTCACTTCATCAGTTTTGGTAATAATAGCATTTCCGAGGTAGTGTAGTTCGGTGGTTAGAAAGCAACCCGGAGTCAGGTAAGCCGGGGTTTGAATCTTCGTCCTGCCACTTAGTTGTTTGACTCTGGGCAAGTTACTAAGCCTGAGCTCCCCATCAATAAAATGGGAATAACCACACCGACCATGTAAAGAAAGCACTGAACTTGGGTCTGGCACCTAGTGCTGCTCGATTATCATTTTCCAGCTATTAGCGTCTTCCTGCACTCAAGGTTGTCAACACTCAGTGATTCTCAGAGTGAAAGCCACCAAGAGAGCCTCCTTCATGCTAGTTGTTGGTAACTTACACAGTCGTGTGTGTATTAACCACTGGTGGACAAAATCCTGGTGAGCCTGCTTACATTAAGTTGTGGTTATGCCAAAAAAGCCCAACAAGTTAAAAAGAAAAAAATAAGTAAGCCTCCTGTCTCTTCTGTTCCGAATAACGTTCTGGTAGCTTAAATTTTCAAACTTCTTGCTAGATGAACTTTCCCCTCTCTGTTGCTGGTCTTGCTGCCTCTCTGTGTTTGCCTTGTAGGAGAAGCTTGTCTTGGACCTCATGCCTGGCTGTCTCATGCACTCAGTGGCAAACCAAATGTGGTTTTGTAGAAATGAATTAGGCTGTTGGTTTTGAGGGATGGTCAGGGTTTTTAAGAATTGTGTTTCTTTCCAATTTTTATAGTTGGTTTCTGGACTTGTTGCTAGGGATACCAGAAAAAAAAAAGGACCCATTGCTGTCGAGTCAATTCCGACTCATAGCGACCCTATAGGACAGAGTAGAACTGCCCCATAGGGTTTCCAAGGAGCAGCTGGTAGATTCGAACTGCTGACCTTTCGGTTAGCAGTCCAGCTCTTAATCACTGTGCCACCAGGGCTCCTTGCTAGGGATAGGCCCCTTTAAATTTGACTTCCATTTTCTGAGATGGAGTACCCTCATCTTGATTGTCTGGGGTGGGGACAGAAATGCAATTTTTTAAAATAACTTTATTGAGATAGAGTTCACATACCATACAATTTGCCTGTTTGATATGTACAATTCAGCAGTGTTAGTACATTCAGAGTTGTGCAACCGTGACCACCTATCAATTTTAGAGCGTTTTCATCACCCAAAAAGAAACCCCATGTAGTCACTTCCATTTCTGCCTAACCACCACAGCCCAAGGCAACTGCTAACCTATTTTTTGTCTTTACAGATTTGCCTATTCCGAACATCAGAAGTCAGTTTTAATCCTTTTCTGCTAGGTGGTCGTGACCAGATTTGGGCACAAAGTTCTTGATTTGAATTTCAAATGGAGAAGCTTTGAATCAGTAAGTTTCTCTCCTTCAAAACAGTTGTTTAAGTAGAGCTGACAGCCCAAAGACTGAACAATGAATTTCTAGGGCCTGGAGAAGCCCAGGTGTGCCTTTGTATTACCACCTCACAAGAGGGGAATGGATTCATTCTAGTTTGTGGTACTTTAATAGATGCAGAAGAGATAACCAAAACAAAAGTAAAGTCCAGCTTCTTCCCTCAGGGAGCTTACAGTCAAGTTGGGGCAGGGTGTCTGGTACTGAA